CCCCCCCCCCCCCCCGAGTTAAAATAAACTCTTCCGAACAGGACGCCATCGTATTTCCAAAGACCCAAATTCTACATCGGTGATGACTTCCACGTTAAACACTCTATGGAACAACATTAATAGAAACGTCAATGGTTCTATTCTCAAAAATCATTCTAAGCTACACAATTATCACATCATCCACAGCTCTAATTAGACCCACAAGAAACCAAACTGCATCCCCTCTAATATTGACATTTTCCCGCCAAATGTCCTCTTTCTATATAATTGCCACACCGTAAACGATTTATCATCAAATAACCTACCGATGGCCCTATCACTCTCAATCCAAGAAATATAATATATAACACCAAACCGCACAAATCGATTGGAACACATTTGCCAAAAATTGCAGCTACTAACCAGAAACTAACAACCACAGGCGATATCGACAACGAAATCGAAGCTTCGATTATTCCATAGATTTTTTCGAAATGTAACAAGCAAAACTTCAAACCATGATCAATCCTCTCCCGTAAATTCTTTTCTCCAAAACTTCATCAAGGAGAGAAATAAACACAAGCGGAAGTTCCAAGAAATTGCTAATCCTTTTCACAAGCTACACAGAAACCTCCTTTCAAATACCATCCGCAAACACATTGCAGAGGCACGAAATCAAATATAGCAGAACAGTAAATGTAAATGTCATGAAGACAGACCACACATTTGACAGACTCAAGATCAGCTTTGTAAAAACCCGGATACCTATACTTCAAATTCCTGCATCCCACACACCCCATTACACGAAGGAAAAGCCGGAAGTCTGGCTGTAAACTTCGAAAAAATACACAATTCTGCTCTGCAACGCAACTTCCCCCATGGAGCACGAGATCTTGCAACATTACCATTCACAACTCTATCCCCCCCCATGGACGACAGTAGTTTAAGCTGCATTCCTCAATACATGAAGCATATAAATAACTTCTCTTCAACAAGGCTTTAGGATTAGACAAAATCACAATAACGGCACTCAAAAATCTGCCAATCAAACCCATAGTATAAATATATTATGTCTTTTGTCTTAAACTTTCCTATTTTCTCACGGCATGGAATACCGCTAAGCTACAGACCAATCAGCCTCTTAAGTAATCTATTTGCAAATTTTTATTATTTGAAAATTTTTAAATTTTTCAATATTTGAAAAAATTATCATTACCCATCTATTAACCCATGTTAACAACAGTAACCTAATTATTCCCCAGTAGTTTGATTTCGGAAAAAGTCATTCATGCATCTAGCAGCTACAGCGAGTTATGGAACACATCACCCTAGAGAAACTAAATAGAAACAGAATAACAGAGATTATCCTTTTGGATTTAGAAAAAACCTTCTGCAAAGTGAAACTGCCTGAAAAAACCTCACTTCCTTTCCTCAGACTGATAGCCAGTTACCTGCAGAACCTTCTATGTCTCAACCACCAAAAGCATCACTGCAGAAGTACCGCAAGCTTCCAGACTTAGCCCCTTGCTATTCATAATTTACATAAAAAACATCCCATACACTCAAAATTCCAACTTAACACAGTGTACGGAGACGACACCGCCATCATCGTTATGGGGTCACAAAAACGCAACCAAGTATATTCAAGCACACCTTGATTAACTTCAAGATTACTTCACAAACGGGAACCTACAAATCAACCCAAAACGTAAGCCATTGTCTTCACAAATAAGAGATCCTGACCTACAAATCAAGTTTCCATCGCAGATCACACAACATCCCTTGGTTCCCCGCAATCCCTCACGATACCTTGGCTCCAGCGACTACAAAAAGAGCAAATTTAGCTTTCTCCGCACTCAGAATACTATGCCTGCTACACCACAGAAAAGTCTCACGTTAGTAAGAATCCATTTCAAAGAATCCAAAATAAATTCCTACGCATCAGCCTCAACAAATCGTATGACGCACCCATTCACGCACTGCACGCAATAACGAACATCCAAACAATCCAGGACATTGCAAATTCATTTCAAACCGCTTATCACAGAACATCAAAATCCACTCATCAGCAAAATACATAAAACTACAAATACATAAAACTACAAACGTCAACAATATCTCACTAAAAATCAAGGAAAAGTTAACTTAAACACGCCAATTGCCACTACATAAAACCCGAACAGGATCAAAACCCAAAATAGAACCAATAAAGATATGCAGATTTTTTAAAATTTTTCCTGCTCGCCTAGTAACATGCAACCATATAATCACCTAACCTCTCCTGCGAAGCATTCACCCAACAAATATATTTTTTTATGCAGGTCAAAGAGTCATCACACCCCATGCACCGCAATTAAATCAAGCAAAAGAAGAAAAAGAAAAGATAAAGAAAGTCGTCCTCTTCAAGTCTCTTCCTTGCTTCAGATACTTCTTGTACATTTAGTCTAGTGGTTTAGTCTAGTGTTTGAGGATCTGAAAGAGCATTTCTGGACTCGATTGCACATCTGAAGTTTTTATAGTTACTAGGAATGTTATATAAAACAATTATGGACGAGGTCATCTGCATTATTAAACTAAATTCAAATATACTAAATTTTCAAATTAAATTTTGTCAGAAACAAAGATTTTAATGAAAAAATTTACTGTTTCTTTTAAGTTCGTTTTTTCATGTTCGATACATTAACTACGGAACAGCTTGTATATCTTATATTGAAGAATTAAATGCCCATATACAAAAAAAAGGTTTAAATACATAAGAATATATATTTTTAAATTATAAATAGTGTTGGGAAGTCAACAATGTACTTCAAGTCCAATGTAAAAATTATAGATAATATCTTAATTATCGATAAAACACAAGAAGAGCAGTTAGTTGTTTCCAGGTTCGAATATTTCCTTGATTGGAAGATCATGTATATTTATTACTATTAATTGCTTGTGAATTGTTAAGAACGGTACATTCTGTATAAACGGAGGTATTTACGTTAATATTTTAATATATATCTATTAAGTTGACGGCATATACAAAATGACTGAGTTATTCCTTATTTTACTACCATCTGTACATTATATAAATATTGTTTTTACTTACAATTTCTTGATTACGTGATTTAGATTTTTTTGAATCTTTGATTCCCTTGCCAAAATAATATCAAGTGAGATTTCAGTCATTGAAATTTTAAATCCGTGTGTATACATATTATAGTTGCTTGGTGTACGTATGCATTATTTGGATGGAATTCACTATAGATTCAATACATTGACTAAGCATCATGTTTCTTTTTTATGTTCTTTTATTAGTAATAATGAAATAGCTTTTAATTATTTTATATATAATTATTCAATAGAATTATTTAATAGTATGAATAAAGTATATTAAATAGAATTTTTATTATGTATATACGAATAAAGTATGAATTTTTATTGAATAAAAGTTGCATAGAAATTTTGTTTATTCCCTAACTGACACAAGTTTAAATTCTGTTAGCAAGATGCTGTATTTCTGCAGTAGCCTAGGACAGATTTAATTATCGTATTTTGTATTTTTTCATTATTATCCTTACTCTTTTGGAAATGTAGGAACTGTAGTTGCTCAACTATATACTTGAACGTACAAAGAAAAATAAAGTTTGCAAATCAGAATCCCACTATGTTCTGTATAAATATTTAATTACATTTATAGCTTTCGTGTATTTTTGGATAACCAGATCTACTTATAGAATAAATAAATTACAGTTTATAATTGAAAATAATACCTAGAATATAATTAGATATTATAGTGTGTTTTAATTTCCGTGTATTCTGCGACATTATTTTTGTTCGTTGAAATATATTAACATTGTTTTGCTTAGAATAAATTCTACACTTAATTTTCGAAGATTTATTTCTATTGTCTCGACTATATTTTCTAAAATATGTATTCCTTTTTTAATAGTTGAATCTTTTAGATAAATCCAGCTCGTTAGTGAGTGTGTAAATCAAAGATTTTTGTGAATCTCTGTTTTTAGACAGATTTATATTCAGATTCAAGACATATAATTTGTACAACAAAGGACTGAGGATTCTTTTCTTTATATAAAATTCATGTCAAAAGAGAGGAGATATGTATCTTTTGTGATAGATATTTAATAAATTGCAATATATTCATTAAACATCCTAATAGGATGAGTTTAGTCAATAGTATATAAATATTTATATTAAGTCAAAAGCTCTTTTAATATAGAAGAATATTGACATCTCGATTCTTTCAGAAAGTTTTTTACTTGAATTTTACTTCACTTACACTAGATTTGTTAAACCGTGTATATATGATTTACCTTCCCGAAAACCATATTAAGTTATTGAATTTGGCAAATCTGTTTAGAATTAATGTTTCAAATAATTTGCATAGAAATAAGTTATATAAAATGAAGACTTTTTTAATCCATGAAATGAATAAAAAAGATTGTTTCCTAAAATAAAATAATCACCATATTTTTAAATATTTAGTAATAATAATGTGAATATTATGAGTCCATTTAATGATTTCAATCCTTTTTAAGAATTTCATTATATTTTTCTGATCAAAAGCAGCGTTAAATTCAATACACATGAAGTTTATTGAAGAATTTTTTTTCAGTAGGATAAAATCTGTTTGGATCCAAGGATACTTGGCGTTTTCTATTTGATTTTATGATTCTAGGTTTTCAAACTATTATGATTCAATGCTTCTATATCATTTTGAACCATCTGTTTGGATATGTGTTAAAATCAATATTCTCAGCGAATAAATATTGCGTTAAACCATCAAGATTATTACAATATATTTAGTTTCTCAGATTTGCTGACTGCTCTTCAAAGTCAGCAAGCATCTAACAAGAAGATTAAAATCAATCTTTATATTTAGGAATTAAAAGGAAATAAAATAGTTGGAAAAGTTCCGGTTGATTAGGTTTAGGATTTTCGGCTCATATATTGCAGGGAAAGTGCAGATCATCTTTCCAAAGCAACTTTTGATTCGGAGTATCGTTAATTTTTGGATGTTTCATTAATTTCTTTTGCTGATGTTGTGAAATCACTAAAAAAGGTAACGTAGAGATAAAATATAAATATTTATTTAATAACAATGTTAGTAATGAAACAATAGATAATTAGAGAAGATGAAGAACACAGATTAACAATTCAAATGAACTCTTTTTTTAACACACTATTGACAACACAATCAACTCTTTTTAATAACTTTCTCGACTCTTTCTCACGACTCTAATCGACTCTGATTTTTCAGTTCGTCCGACTCTGTTTTTTTTTTTTTCAAAAGAAAAATGTTCCACGCTAATATCACATCACATTCATATTTTGTTTTCACGTATTTCTACGATCAGCAAACATTAAAGGTCATGTAGTATGATTAATACAACTCAAAATATAATAACTACAAATTACAATAACTACAATACTACAGTAGCTAAATTCAATCCTAGACTTAATTAAAGAACAAAAGATCTATAATGAAAAAATATATTATGAATTCTATAATAATAAACAAACGCCGTGATATATAAATAGAAAACTAAACAGAAAGTTTATCATAATAAATGCCATTATAAGAATGAAGACACAGACAACGTAGTTTGACAATGCAAGCTACTTCACCCCCAAGATCCAAATTAATCAAGAAACTGCTTAAAAAAAATTACAACTATCTCTTTACTAAATCAAATCTCTTCTCTTTTATAAATCAAATGGAAAATAGGTTCCAGAGTATCTTTATATCTTTTCCTTTTTAACATAAGAATAAATCAAATAAAAAATAGATTCTATCGTATTTTCATATCTTTTCCGTTTTAAGAGATTGTAATTCAAACATTTAATTATTTTATATTATACATGTCTAAGTAATATTATGTCTAAATAATATTATGTTGTATATATTGTACATCCTAAATGTAAACAAACTTTTATTAAGATTTTTAATGTTAATAAAAAAAGAAGAAAAAAAGAATTGCTTATAAATAAAGTATAAAA